CCATCATCCAGACTGAGGACTCTGGCATTACTGTAATATAAATATTATGGAATGAGATCATCAATAATAGCTGCCTCCACACCAGAACAGTAATCCAGTTTGAAAACAAACTAATGATTCTGAAGAGCAGATCTATAGGAAAAATTGCCATTCTCTACGCAGTTCTGAATAATGTTAAGAAAGAAAAGTGACAACACATACATAAAAAACAGAAAATAGAATTTCAGGGTGCCACAAAAGAAGACTTCTGAACAGATATTTTCCATAACTTACTACTTACAAACACTGGTAGAATTCCAATAGAAACGAATTCTTCTAAACTTTCATAATCAAAAATTAAATATATTCAAGCAGTTTCAACCTTTGCTGAAGAGGATGTGGGCAAGTACAGTAGATTATTAAGGCTGGATGAAAATTTTCCATTGAAACTATTTTTAGATTGAAAATTGAGTTTTCAATTAGACAATTTTTTGGCCAGCTTTCCACAGGGAAAAAAATGACTTTTTGTCAAAACAAAACACAACAAAACAAAAAACCCAAAACACATCACTACAAAAAATCCCCAAACTGAAAAATTTCGATTTGGAAAGTATACCAGGCTGCCTCATGCCCCATTCTCCTTTCTGGACCAGAATCCCTGGCCAAACTACATCTCCCATGATGCATCTCAGCAATTCAGCAAGAAGGGTGCATCATGGCAGTCTACAATTCCCATTAGATACAGGGCAGCGTTTCTCAATCAAAATTTTCAGGTTTTGGACAAAATCTTCTGTTTTAGACAACAAGAACAACAAGCCTATTATGCCCTATGGAGCACTCCCCTAAAATGTATAATACAACAAAAAATTAGTTAGGATCTCAGAATATTAATATGAGCCAGGAAATGCACTCTCATTCCATGGCTCACAAGAGAAAACTCGGCAACCTTTCAGAAGTGGTGTGCCAAGTCTTCATTTATTCATTAAGGTTTGGCGTGCCAGTAAAACATTTTAACATTTTTTGAAGGTCTCTTTCTATAAGTCTATAATATATAACTAAACGATTGTTGTATGTAAAGTAAATAAGGTTTTTAAAATGTTTAAGAAGCTTCATTTAAAATTAAATTAAAATGCAGAGCCCACCGGACCGGTGGCCAGGACCCGGGCAGTGTGAGTGCCACTGAAAATCAGCTCGCGTGCTGAAGGCAGCACGCATGCCATAGGTTGCCTACCCCTGCTCTACAATCATAATGCAGGTGAACAAAATATAAGAAAAATGAAATGTGTAACAGTACTCAAATTAGATGATTAAACACCAGGTTTGAAGAATATTGGCGTTTAACCAATGAACAATGTGTAACGTGCAAGAAACAGACAAACAGTAACAACTCCAAGCTCAAACTACACTGTATTTTATCTAAAAAATGCCACTCTCTCCTTTGAATACTTAATATACAACACCTATGTATTTACCTCCATATTGCAATTCTTCACAAAATACCCCCCTTTATCCAAAAACCAACTATTTGTGGATCTCTTAGTATACTGCAATACTGCACAAGTACCTGTGTCCATCACTGAATATAACACTACACCTAAAATATGTAGTGCTACCTGTATATTTTATGTGTGTATTTACTGGTGTTCCTTCTTGTAAATATTCCTATACAACATAGGTTTTATAAAAATCATCTGTAGGGCCATTTAAGAAATATTCTGTTGCTTAAACAACCAAACCAATAGGCGCCAGATGGAAGTTCCATGAAAAACAGTAAAATACCTACTTTAACCCAGGGCCTAGGGTTATCACAATTTTTAAACTGATATTCTAAAATAAAAATAAAAAAAGAGCAAACCATAATTTGGTCAAAGATTGTTTTCAGTGCTATGTTTGTGTTAATAAAAGATTATCTGTTATGGTAAGACTGAGATTGAACTGATATATGCTCATGTTGTTTTATTTAGATTTACCTAAATTCCTGATACCCACGCATGAGTTAGAAATGAAGCAGAAATAACCTTTTATTACATTACAGTTGAGACTGTTTCTGAGAGTATTACCAGACATACTGTAACTTTGCATTAAGTAAGAGATTAATAAACATCAAGAAAGAACTAAAAGGTCTCCATCAATTTACTGATATTGAAATGCTGCCAAATTGTTATATCAACCCAAGCGAGTTACTCAAAGGTCCCCTACATGAAGGAAAACTGTGTCTGTTTTATGTAACATCCTCTCACTAGTTCCCCTTGAAATTTTGCAAACTCTTATGTTCATATTCACACAAACATTCTGGGTGTCACACTTCAGGAAAGCTGTGAACAAACTGGAGAAAGTCCAGAGGAGAGCAACAAAAATATTAAAAAAAAAAAATTAGAAAACTTGACCTATGAGGAAAGGTTAAAAAAACTGGGTATGTTTAGTCTTGAGAAAAGAAGACTGAGCGGGGCCTGAAAACAGTCCTCAAATATGTTAAGAGCTGTTATAAAGAGGACTGTGATCAATTGTTCTCCCTGTCCACTGAAGGTAGGACAAGAAGTAATGGGCTTAATCTGCAGCAAGGGAGATTTAGGTTAGTCATTAGGAAAAGCTTTGTCTCTATAAGGGTAGTTAAGCTCTGGAATAGGCTTCCAAGGGAGGCTGGAGAATGCCCATCACTGAAGGTTTTTAAGAACAGGTTAGACAAACAGCTATTGTGGATGGTCTAGATTTACTTGATTCTGCCTCTGGCGGGACTGGATGACTTCTCAAGGTCCCTTCCAGCCCTACATTAATATGATTCTACAAAAGAAATCTAGAAAAAGTCTGGTGTGTAAATTAAGCATGCAGAAGTAAGGTGCCATCATGGCCTTTTATATGGAGATCTTATGGAACATACTGGTACAGCAATTACTCTGCATTGAAGCAACCAGTACATTCCTTATGTCACTGAACTATATTTTGTTCCTTTCATGGTTTCCATATCACTTATGGAGCAAAAATCCTTAATGGGGTAATGGGTTTTCAAATGTTAGTTATTGTTAAATGAACGAGTTTTGAATAGTGTCACACCTCATACCTTCTACTGCATTTTAGGGGTTCCAATAATAAGCCCACACTCTTCCTCCCTCATCTACAATCTGCCACATCTGTATCTGGAAATATTGCTGTAGGACATCCTTTTTCTTCCCCTATCAGTCTTTTAACAATTTTAAGGATGTTGGAAAAGAGACCCATTGAGTGCACTTGTAGTGTCCTAAAAATCACTGATCTCATAAAGAATATATATTTTATAATTGTATGCCTGTGTATACAAAAAGATATTGAACTGTCTATCCTCTACTATACTTACATACTTAATATATGTCCGATACTAGATATCAAAAACATCAGGACAATGTACACAATCAATTCTTTATTATTTTCTATTCTTGCAAGAAAAGACACTGTTTTTCACTGCTATCCTATGGACTAAACATAAATATATTTCAAAAATAAGACTTAATTTCAGTGTTCAGCGGTGCAGCTAAAAAGATACATTGCCAAGATAACACAGGTAGGGTATGTCTACAGAGCATTTTGGAATGAGTAGGAGCGAGCCTCCCAGCCCAGGTCTGCAGACTTGGGTAGCAGAGTTTGCCCTAGTGCTCTAAAAAATAGCTGCATAGACAATGTTTTGAAGTCACTGCAGAAAACTCTCTGACCCCAGTGTGTTAGGCATCTACATACCTAGTGGAACATATGTGCAACCACTCAAAGAACCACAATTTTTTGACCAAAATTAAAATGGTCAAAAATCAAAATTCACTTTGGTTGAAAGTCCAGTTTTTACATCAGCTCTTATACTAATGTAACCCTTCTGCCCATCTAAGTTGGCAGCAACAAGGGCC